CAAATCAGTAATTTGAGATGGTCAGCGTGTCAAACTCCCATCTTGCACTGTCACGGTTCGAGTCCCGCTGAGGGTGTTGATGAAACCGATGCGAGGTCGAAACTGCAGTCCACCCTGGATAAGAACAACTTTTGGGAAAGCAAGGCTATGTGAAATTCAATGGAAACGTCAGATCATCTCATATCATTGTGGAAAAATTCTACTACTAGTCCTTCATCACCTTAGACGAAATATGGTGAATAAATGTCGAATAAATTCTAGGGTTAACACATAATCATTATTATATTTGGATAGCCGGTGTTCTTTTCCTTTCTGTTTATTCATTTCAATGCAGATCAGTTAACCAAACAGTATGAATTCTTAATGTGCTGTGCGACTGTAAAAGAGCAATCTACTGGTCTTCACAAATAACTTAAATTTACTTTTGCCTACAGCCTGATTTTTTTTAATTTTATCTGGCAAAGTACTAGCAGGCATCATCAGGCATTTTCCTTAGGGTTCATAAATGTGTATCTCAGGGCAAATATTTTTCTTTGCTATAAAGCACTTCTTGGAATCTGTTTACAGGGACCAACTGACTGGACTTGAGGCAGAGCTGGCACAAGAGATCGGGCGTCTCCTTAATGACCTGGACGTTTCGAATCGGCGTCGACGTGACCTTCTAGCCAGTCTACATGCTGCTGGTACTCTGGGCGGCCTGCAGGCGCACCAAACACATGCTCACGCGCATACGCAGCATCAACTGCACCAACTGCACCAACTACAGCAACACCCTCGGCATTCACCACCCTCACCTAGACAAATGCAACAGCAACAGATGATGCACAACCTAACTAATCCCGCTTCGCCGATGACCGCGGAGCTAGTTCGTTCCCCTGTCCAGTTCGTTGTAAACGCTGTTGCAGCAGAGGCTGAACATGGCGTCATGATCTAACCTGAATGTCCGCTCCAGTCACTTTTACTTAAATTACATCTTTCAATTCTCTAGGTTAGATCTTGCACGTCCTGCAGACTTGAGTCCTAACGCTTCATATTTAATCTCATTTGTGATTTTACATCTTTCATATATTATTTGCTTCATGCACCTTTTATTTATTCTTATCGCATTGTTATTTTCATTGTTTGTTGGCCTTTTTTAACTCATTTATCATCTTAGATCTTTTTCATGTGATAGTGCAACTGAAGGGGTTTTTTATCCGTTTCCTTATCTCTGATCTATATCATTGCACCATAAGCTAATTTCGTGACCATCAAACTAGTTTATGTATAGAATTATCTATCGTTTATTTTTATTTTTACTCAGCTACATGTTTCCCATGAATTCTAATTTTGGCCAAACTTTCAGCTTCCTTTGCCTCAGCCTCATTTCCCATGTGTCTAAAGCTCTGTTGGTACCTCTGTGCTGCATATTTCCATCCAGTCGTTATAGCATATATATATAGCGCTGATTTTTTAATCCCTTCTTCGACTAGTTCGTATTTCATAATATTTGCTCACAACATCCGCACATTTTTAAAAGTATCTTCTTTCCAGCTGTGCTTTGTTTGCCCGAGCTTTCTCAAATGGATCAGGGAACGTATCGTATTTGACTAAAAAGACACTTCTTTCGATCTGTGCTGCTTCTACCGTTTTTTTACAGCCAATCCTCCCGTGGCTCTGAAATATAATCGTTTTCAGACGCTCACGGCCTCCACCGCCTTCACAATTGCGCCTACCTACTCAAAGCATTTGATTATCACTTCTTCGTCAATTGAATTTGATTATATGCTGACAAGTTTTTCAATAGTGTATATAAATGGTGTATAAAGAAAAACTACTGAGATTATGTAAATATCAATATTGAATCACAGTATGGCATCTTTTTATTTTACAAAATAAACTTTCGCGTGGCTAGATTCAGCTGCTACATCTCTTTCTGAAACACATCGGGGGACGTGTGAATAAACCACAATTTAATGCTGACGCAAAGTAGCACTAGTATGAGGCAATTTGGAGAAAAATGCAAGGCTTATGCCGATAGGAAAATGTAGAAGATATGCCTTAATGAGCATGTATGCTTGCATAGGCGAACGTTTCTCAGGACGCTCAACCAGTTCATGGTGGCCTAAATTTGGCACCAAGCATTCTCAAATGTCAAATGTCAGTTTTATTTGCTAATGAGTCTCTCGTTAAAAGTTAGGAAGGAAGAGCCATCATATATCAAAGGCGCTAGGGGATTTTGGCTCTAGGAAATCATAGTCACTTTCCCGCAAAAAGCATGGTGGAGCCTAATGCCTATGAGACTAGCGCTATGCAGAGTAAAAGCTAGTTAACGGCTAGCCGGCAGTCAGATGCCGGAAATTATCATGCTTACTTTTGCAGAGGACGAAGGGATTGGTATGCCCTAAGAGGTCTCCCTATCGCCCCAATAATGATGTCATATCAATCTAAGGGGGGCAAGAATGGCTGTTGATAAGCCTATCTAAGGAAGGTAGCAAATATGTAAACTAGACTGAATTAGTCTTGCCTGTAAGTTCTTAAAGTAGTAATGAGAAGTCTTAATATATTTTGGGAATTCGCACCAATTTATGACCTTGCGACTTTGTGTAGTCTTTAGGCCATTGCATGATTCACTTGGGTATATGCATCCAACGGGTGCCATTCTCCTATAGTTTCACATGATTACACTAACAATGCCATTGCAACTAGATTTCAACCGTGTTTTTAACTGTGCTGACTGCTTTTTATTCTACTATTTGAGTGCATCACCATCACCTCACTACTAATATTATTCTTAAGAAAAGCAACTTATTAGATGTTAAAATAATAACTTTTCTAACTTACATGTATGCCGCTTTAGACCGGCGCATGCATTCATCTTCAGGCACCAACTCATTGCCAACAATGTAGAAAATTTTGATTTTTAGGCCGTTAAACCAAAGAAGCATAGGTTTAAATTAAAATAGCTTCTTTTCTAAAAAAAATTAACGTGGTTTCAATAATGACTATCTTTTGACGTGAAACTTAGGTTCTCTGATACACTCACTCGAGAAGCTGAGAGTATCGTTTGTTGTGGCGACTTCATTTCACGCGAAAATTTCTGAGAAGATAATCGCGTAGGTTGATCTCACTGGAAGACAACATCCGACTCCCGGACTATGTCGTGGCATGGCTTACCATTTCGACCGAAAAGTTGGTTGGAAGAAATTCGTGAAATGATCTTATGAGAAGCGAAGGAGGATTGCTGCGGAGTGAAGACTGTTGGATTGTACGAACAAGTCCTTGGCTAACTGTTCTGCGAGCCCGATGGACTTGTGCTAGGCTCCCGTCTGTACTGCCGTGACAGACATCAGAGCAAGAATCTATACTCTACGAAATGGCGCAAAAAATATACTTTACCTTTTCTCTTAGTTTAATACATTTTCTGCGCCAGTTCGTGATTAAGGATTCTTGCTCTGATGGTGTCTGTCATCAGGTTAATCGAAGTCACAAGACGGTGAGCCGATGACTTCTTTCTATAATCCAACAGTCTTTACTCCGTGGCACTCGTTCGGTTTTCAGTGTTACCATTTTACGAATTCCTTCCAACCAACTTTTTCCTCGAAAACGGAAAGTCGTCACAATAAATCACTGAAGGATTCTTCAAAATCCAGTTATTCACCTTATGTTTAATTCCGCTATGGCTTTAAGGCTGGTGAAGTCTACAAGACGTCCTACCTCAGTTCCGGTCAAAACGGAATGAGTTTTATCCCTCATTCTACGTGGCAGACCGTCGGAGGTGGATTTCATCAGCTCAAAAGTTGTAGCCTTCATTTTGTTGAATAAACTAATCGTCTATCTATTGTGCTATATTTACTCACAAATGGACAATAGCTGAATATAGATAGAGAGATATAAAATGATCTGTTTAGTCCTCTTCATGTTAATCTCAGTGCTTTTAAGTTTGAGTCTCTGTAACGGAGAAGATGAACCTCGTGAGATTCATCGAAAGCAAGTTGCATCATATGGATTAGGAGACTAGATGGATATGTTAATATTATGTATCATAAGACAGCCGAAACAGGCGTATTTCTTCGCATTGTATCCAGAGAAGATAAGCAAAGTAATACTTTTGGGAATTCGGAATGCAAGCGACGGCAGGACAGGCCACAGGAGGGGTGAAATCAAGTACGAGAGTACAAGAATAACGGAGAAAAAAAAGTAAAAATGGCCTAAATTAGGTTATAATTGGTAAGATTATAGGATGCTTAGCGTGCAAAGGTTTTCGGAAACTGAAACGACGCACAAGGCCGGCACGTAAGATCTAACCATGCTTTCGGCCACTGGAGGGACAGAAGGCCTCTGGACGGGTGTTTGAGGGCGTCTCTGTGTGTGTGTGTATTCATGTTGGTACTCGTGCGCGTGTGTAGAGAGAGTGGGTGAGTGAAAGGAAAGAAATGTGGTCGTAACAGTTGCTGTGGTTGCTGTGGTACGGTGCTGAGAAGCAAGAGATACTGGGAGCGGGAGGCGCAAGAGGCGTTTGTGAATGAGTCCATGTGGCCGGCTACAGTGGAGAGATGTCACAGCCAAATAAATATCTGCCAGGTGCGCATTTCAGTAGCCTATAACCCCACGTCAGAAAACAAATGAGCAAGGTTATCCAAAAAAAGAATGCATATAAAAAGGATTTCTTGAGGTTCAAGGATTGCTTCTTGAGCTGATCAGCTAACCGTTTAGGTGGTTGAGGTCGCAGGTCCTTCATTCGGAGTCGTCAAGATGTGTATTGTCGCATTAGGTGTGAGCAGGCTTTAAAACTAGGCGAGGCTGGACCTGCAGTCGGGTCGAGATGAGATAATCATTCGAAGGACAAGGTTGTGGCATTTAATAATTTGAGTACGAGGAAAACTCCACCATCGGTCCTTAAATGACCTTAAACGACCTCAGTAAACTAAGTTTTCATCCCCACACCAAGTATAAGTAATGTCATTTATTATACTGGTAAATGCATGTTTGTATCATCTTCATTTCCATGATGATGCGCATCACGAGACTTCACATCCTGTTGGTTGCTGAGGCGAAGTCGATACGGCAGTCCAGTCCAGTCCAGTCAAGCCGGGATGAGATAGCTTTTTGGCCTAGAAGGTCGTATTGTTGGTATCGTTGTGGCAAAAATGAACTGTCACTACTGAAATCAACTTAAGTGACCTAGGCTGAGTAAGCTCGTCCAAAGAAATGAAGATCAAGATGGTGTCTCCTTTCGATATATACAAGTGAGGCGACCTCGTTTTCGCAACTTGATCGTGTTGTAAGGGGGAGTTAGTAGAACGAACCTCGTACAAAGTACTCTGCAAAAGTAGTTATCATCATCAGACCTTGGACTTGGTAATTTCTGAGACATTTCGCTCAAGTCGTAGCCTGCATCATCGTTGAGTGTTGCCATTCTCAGCACTACGCTACAGACTGGTCGAAGAGACAAATGAAGTCAATCTCTTGGCCAACGTTATACCGAAAACGGTTCCAAAATCACTCCTCTTTCTGCCCTGGCCCATTTATCTATTCCTTAACCTCTTATCCAACTCACGCCCTATCACAACTTCTCACTTGTTTACATTACACTCGTCAAAATGTGTGCCCTTTTGTGGCAACTTTAGTGTGGCCTCATCCCACTTGCTATTCACCCCGGCCCCCTCTCCTTCGATCGGCCAATCCGGATCCCCTTATTGTCTCGTAGATCCGTTCCTTATCTTTCTGGTTGACCGATTTCACTCGGTTCAAGTCGCAATCTGCGTTTCACTAAAAGCACTATTTCTCAGAACCATAGAAGCACCGAGCAGAGTGCCTAGACTGTGATTCCCATGCTTGCAGATATCAGGCCTTCCCTTCACGTGTCGTCTCCTTCATTAAACCCATGTGATCTGAGCAAACTGTGGACGCCTATCTCTGGTCTCATGCGGCATCTCAAGTGGATTTTCGGTA